TTAGTTAAGAATTTTATACTTTAACATTTCTTGAGACTGTCACACACACGTATTTACATACATATATTTACATCCACCCTCTCCCCTCTGCAACTCATCCCACTGCCTTCCTTACTCCTTCTCAACTTCAAGACCTCTATCTTTAATTTGCTTCACACACACACACACACACACACACACACACACACACACACACACACACACACGTATATAAATACACCTGGCTGAATCCAGTTAGTGTCACTCTTGTGTGTGCCTGTAGAGGGCTGGCCCTCCCCCAGCAGCCATTAACTGCCCAGGTGGGACCTTGTGAGAGGTCCCCTCCATTTTAGGATGTCAGCTGGTGTTGCCATTGTGCAGGCCTTTTTTCTGTGACCGTACAGTTGATGTAAAAGTGTTTCTTCACTTACATATTTAGTGTGTGGGCATGTGTGCTCACCACAGCACATGAATGTTGTCCATCAAGGGACAACTTGTGGGACTTGATTCTCTCCTTGTGGATTCTAGGGATCCCACTCAGGTAAGTCAGCCTTGGCATCCATCGCCTTCACCCACTGGGCCATCTCAATGGTCCCAGCTTGTTGTTGTTGTTGTTATTAACCCGGAGCTCACCAAGCAGGCCCAGGGTGGCTGGCTAGCAAATCCCAGGAATCCAGCTGCCTCCACCTCCCAGCACTGGGACTACTAGCACACACTACCATACCCTGCTTTTTATGTTGGTTCAAAACTCAGGCCCTGGTGTTTCTAAGGAGAGCACTCTACCGACCTCTTTGCTTGGGTTTTGTTGTTGTTGTTGTTTTGTGTTTTATTGGGGTCTCATTATAGCCCAGACTGGCTCTGGTCCTCCAGCCTCTTCTCCTGAGTGCTGGGATAACAGACATGCAACACTATATATCCTTTTATGGACCCAGGCCTTCCTGGGTTCATGCTAGACATGCATTCCACTAATCTAGCCCTGTCCCAAACCCTTGGTTCATAACTAGCCAGCATGCATTAGCACCACACCCCGGAGCTTAGCATACAAGTGTTTCTTGCAGCTAATGTCGGTGGGATGAGAAACTGCGCCCCCTTCCCCTGTTTAAGTACCGGCCTCCCCCAAGCCTGAGGAATGCTGCCCCAGGCTGTGGAGCAGCTTCTGCTTCTCACTGTCTTGTTGCTTCTACCTGGGTTTTTCCCAGTTCTAGAAGGAAGCGATTTGCATGGGCTGTATGTACAGAAATGTCTGAGCTACAGACCTAACTGTCTTCATCTAAAATTAAAGGGAACCTCTTAACTCATGTTTTTGTTTGTTTGTTTGTTTGTTTTTTGGTTTCTCAAGACAGGTTTTCTCTGTGTAGCCCTGGTTGTCCTGTAACTCGCTATGTAGACCAGGCTGATTTTGAAGTCAGAGATCCACCTGCCTCTGCATCACCACCACCCAGCTTCTCCTCTCTCTCTCTCTCTCTCTCTCTCTCTCTGTGTGTGTGTGTGTGTGTGTGTGTGTGTGTGTGTGTGTGTGTGTGTTGTGTGTGCCACTGTATATTCATGTTTGCATGTGTGTGCATGTGAAAGCCTGCAGTTGGTTGGTGTCAGATATCATCCTTCATCTTGGGGTCTCCACGCCTAAGCCCAGAGCTCACACATTCTGCATTGCTTAGCTTCACAGATTGCCCTGAAATCCCATCTCTGCCTCTCATTAACTGGTATGTCAAGTGGTCCCCTCACCTTCCTGGCTTGGCTTTGTGGCTTCTGGAGATCTGAACTGCAGTCTTCACACTTGTGGGCTAAGTTCTTCATCCGAGAGCCATCTGTCTCCTCAGCCTTTCACCGGTTTCTTAAGTTGGTGATGCAGTGACAGGAAGTCTCTTACAAGAGCTGGATGCCACGGTTTCTCACCACTAGGGAGTTGTCTGCTGAGTCTGTATATAGATGGTGACACTCAGTATAATGAGATGGCCATGAGAGTCTGTTGGGGTGGGGGGGCAGTCTCAGAATTTATTTAGGTAGAGGATAGGGACAAATACTCATTGATACAGAACCAGTTAGCCACCGCTGCCCCTCCAGCTGCCTTCATCCCGAAGTGAAGAGAGCCAGCAGCAAGCAATCTGCTCTGTTCTGACTTCCTAAAAGAGCAAGAGAGGGTCCCCCAGCTTTTAAGTTGTCACATCCCTAAGGCTGGTACCCCAAGGCTATTGTCAGGTTGAATTCCCACAACTCTATTAGCAGAGGGCTTGTCTAGTGTGCAGGGAACCCTGGGTACAAACCTGTGATCCTAGCTTTGGGGAGATAGGGACAGAAGAATAGATGATTAAGCTCATCCTCAGGTCTTCAGCTACAAATGGAGTAGAGACCAGCCTGGACCATGTGATAGTCTGTTGCAACTGGGAAATGGGGTCCGAGGGGCAGCCTGACAAGGTTTAGCAGGTAAAGAAGGAACTTTCTGCCTAGAAAACCAGCTTATGCGGCACTGGGGATAGAATCGTGCTAGGGTGCGCTCTACCAACAGGGTCACATCCCCAGCCACGTGCCACCTTTGGTTGAAGGTGCCACCCCACGGTGAGCACCGTCCTTTGCAGTCTCCAGAAGCCGGGTCATCGTCCTTATTTCCTTTAAGTGCAGTTCTCACGTTGATCCATCCCCGCTTGGAAAGCTTTTCTACCCGGAGTTGAAATAAACCTTGCACCAAATCAAATCTGTTCTTAAAATCTTTCACGTTTCACATTTGTAGCCAATTCTCTGGCCCTTGATTATACTTTAAAAGCCCTTTAACTGCCGAGAATCACACAGGGTGTTGACCGTGGTTCTGCCTGGGTGGTGAGATGGGATTATTCGTAATGCTTTGGAGTCTTTCAGGTATTTTTTTTTTTTTTTTTTGGATTGAAGACTAGGTGTTTAATAGAAAATTCACCAGCATCCTCAGATTGCCCGGCAAACCACACAGCTCAGACAGGCCTGGGAGGGATGGGAGCTCAGGTCATGGACAGTGTAGCTCATTCTCCCTGGACCCCTTTCCTTCCTGGTTAAAGGAGAGAGCAAGTGGCTGGGATTGGCTCAGTTGGTAAAAGTGTTAGCCCTGCAAGCATGAGCACCTGAGTTATATCCCCAGAGTGCGACAGAACTCCCTTTATATATTTACTTTACAAAAATTTATTTCAGCACTAGGAACCAATCAGAGTTTTGCACATTTAAAAATGTATTTTTAGTGTGTTTATGTGTAAGTGTGTCATGACACCCATGTGGAGGGCAGAGGACAACTCTCAGGAGTTGGTTTTCTGGTTCACTGTGGGTTGTGGCAAGCACTTTCACCTGATAAGCCACGCCCCACCACACGCCACACCCTGAGAACACCAAGAGGTCGAGTTCTAACCCAGACCTGTTTTCCAAGAGCCTTTTCCTGGCATCCCATTTTCCCTGGTCTCAAGAAAACAATATTTAGAAGGTGGAAGGTTTACTGAGTGGGAGACTCCATTCATGTCAGCTACGGGGAAGTTTGTCACCGTGTTCCCACAATTAGCCCCTCACTAATGCTCTGTAAAGGAGCCCAATAAACCCATCAGTTGCCCTGGTTGAGTTTGGAATCTCTTTGGTTTGTCACTGGTGTCCTGTTGGTAGCAAGCAGCTGCTTCCATCTCCCCTGGGAAAAAGTTCACACAACAGCTGCCGTACTGGGACGTCACCGTTGTCCATTTCTTAGTGTCTAGGCTCCAGGGGGGCACAGACCTGTGACGTCCCCTCCCTTCACCCCCTGCACACAGCTTGGGGTCTATGCCTGTATTGCCAGGAAGCTGTTCTAGTTAAGATGAGGGCATACAGGATTGGACAGGAAAGGGATTGTGGGAAACAGATTGGGGCTTGAACTCCTTCCTCTTCTGTCTCTCACCGGCAGCATGGCTTGCAGACTTGCACACAGGCGTGCCATCACACTTGTGAACACACACAATCATAAAATTTGGGATTTTAGAGAGTTCTTCATCACCTTAGGACAGCATCCTAAATGCTGGAGTTACAGAACTACCACACCTACTTTCTTTGCCATAGACTGTTCTGTAAGCAGCAGCTTTTCATTTTAGACTCCACAGATGGAAGCTGTTCAGCTCAGCTGAGATCGGGTGCCTGCCACATCCTGACACAAGGGCACAGTAGCCAAAGCTACCAGCTGTGCCACAGCCCTGGCCACCTGAGGACTGTGGTGACTACTTAGGATTTTAGAACTCGGTCACTGAATAGCAAAGCAGAGGAAGGGAACCTGGGGGTCGGAGGCCATCAGGAGGTATGGGGTATGGAGTGATGGGGACCCACCCTGTGCCCTATTTACTTTCATGGAGGTGTCCCCATTCTCACACAGAGGTGGCCCTGCTGTAGCTTGTCAGGACACAGTTCATTTCACAGTGGCTACATTTTAATGTCCTTGATTGATCTGAGATATAGCTAAGCTTCGTTACAGGCTCCAAATCCCCTCTTGTGCCTTTCCAAGTTTTTTTTTTTTTTCCAGAATTTCTATTCCATTTGTGACACCGTGCCATGATAGGTTGGTTCTCAAGGATTTAATCTCACAGAGATTCAATCTGTTTTTTGAGGTGGGATCCCCTGTCTCCATGGCTGCCATCTCTCTGTGTGTAGCTAAGGGTAACCCTGAAATTCTGCTCTTTCTAATGCTGCCTTCTAAGTGCTGAGATGAGGGGCTTGCTCCAGCACGCCTGGTTTACGAGGTACTGGTTTTCGAACCCAGGGCCATGTGCATGACAGGCAGGCACTCCACTGACTGAGCTACACCCCAGGCTTCTGGTTTACTTTTAAACTCCCTACCAAATGCTGGCATTTTCCTGATAACAGGGTGAGCTGAGGGAGGATTTCCCACAAGAACAACCGAGTCCACGCAGGTAGTACTCACCTCCAGCTGACCGTGAGCTCTCGGGGATCAAAACGCAAGACTTTTGCATTTCAGTCAACTGCTTTTTCTCTTCCAAAGTGAGCTTACATTTTTTGTTTGTTTGTTTTTCTCTTCCGTGGCCTCCTTACAGGGGATCAGCTGTTGCGAAAATAATTGGAAATAATGTAAAGAGCCTGCAGAAGTTTGCCTCCACGGTCAAGATGTGGGTGTTTGAAGAGACCGTTAACGGGAGGAAGCTGACAGACATTATCAACAATGACCACGAAAACGTGAAATACCTCCCCGGACACAAGCTGCCGGAGAATGTGGTAAGACTCGGGGGGCGGCGGCACACGTGGTCCATTCTCCAGGCTGTGATCCTCTGAGTGGCACCAGGACCTGGATGAGGCAGAGGAGCCTTTTAACTAAACTTTTTTTTTTTTCCAGACAGGGTTTCTCTGTGTAACTTTGGAGCCTGTCCTGGCACTCACTCTGGAGACCAGGCTGGCCTCGAACTCACAGAGATCCACCTGCCTCTGCCTCCCGAGTGCTGGGACTAAAGGTGTGCACCACCACCGCCCAGCTAACCCTTTTTATTTTTTAAAGATTTTATGTGTGTGGGTGACTCTCCTGCATGCATGCCAGGTGCCCAAGGAGGTCAGAAGGGGGAGCTGGACCCACTGGACTGGAATTATAGATGGTTGTGAGCCATCATGTGAGTGCAGAGAATTGAACCCTGGTTCTCTGCAAGAGCAGAAACTACTGAGTCATCTCCCTAGCCCCACTCCACACTAGTTCCCATGTATTCCAGGGTGGCCTGAATTTACTCTGGAGCTAAGGACATCTTCCTGCCTCCACCTCCCCAGCCCACCACCACTTCTGGCATCCTGACAAGGCTCTCTACTAACTGAGCTAGCCCAGCACTGCTATGTATGTCTATCAGTGAGGCCGTGCCTTCAGAGTTCAAGTCTACCTGGCATGGACCCTAACCCCCTGCACACCTAACCCTGCCTGAGGGGCCCGCTCAGGAACCTTCTGTGGCAGTGACTGTCCACTCTTAATGACCATTTTCACCACTGGCTCACTAAAAGCTGCCTGGTCTGGGGGTGTGACTTCCCTAGACCTGAATGGAGAGGACACTTGTTATTTCCTGACTTTGCAAGAATCCGGCTTCATTGCTCTTCACCCGGGAACTCACATTTGGAGCTCAGCCAGGTGAAGGCTCTTCTGCTTTGGCAGGCCAGCTTCAGCTGGCCCCAGTGTGACATGGGAGCTACTGATTGCAGTGCCCTGTGGGATTGTTTTTCACTGTCTCTCTCATCTTTGTCTGCTGAGCTCTGACAGTTTTTAAAAACAGTTCTCACTGAGATTCAAATCCATATGTCTATACACATCAGTGGGCCTTTAGTTTGGTTTGGCTTTTGACCTTTTGACCTTGTGTAGCCTAGGCTAGCCTCAAACTTGCTATGTGGCCCAAGATAACTTTGGACTCCTGGTCCTTCTGCCTTAACTTTTTGGTACCCAGGATTAAAAAGAGGTTGAGGGGGGAGGATGCGCCTAGGCTACATGGTGACTTCCAGGGCAGCCTGGACAGTGAAGGGCGGCCCTGTCTCAACAAACAGTCAGAAGAACCAAAGGGCGGTGAGATGGCCCAGTGGGTAAAGGCGCCTGCGGCGTTTGATCCTTACGCAGAGCTGGACAGACTTGAGTCATCCTCTGCGCTCCACATACATGCCACAACATGTACACACACACACACACACACACACACACACCCCATAAATAACTAAGTAAAATTTAGCGACACTTAAAAGGACTTGTCAGGGTCGCTTTCCTGCAAAGGATGGGGATGGAGATGGCAGCACTTCATGAGGAGGGTGTGGGCTGCCTGGACTTCTCAGGAATTATCTGTCTTCATACTTTGTTGCAGGTCGCTGTCCCGAATCTCAGTGAGGCTGTGCAGGACGCAGACCTGCTAGTGTTTGTCATCCCCCACCAGTTCATTCACAAGATCTGCGATGAGATCACGGGCAGGGTACCCAAGAAAGCCCTGGGCATCACGCTCATCAAGGTAACTACACATGAAGAGCAGGTTCCTCTAGAGTTCACGCCCTCTGTCCTCTGCATGAGAGGACCTGATGCCCTCTTCTGGCCTTCTTGGGAACTGCACACACATGGTAGACATACATGCGGGAAAAATGCTTATACACAATAAAAATTAATTTAGTAAAAGAAAATTGAGTGAGGTGTTGACAGCATTCAGAATGGCTGTTCTGTAAGATGGGAGGAGGGCCAGGTGTTGGTGGCGCATGCCTTTAATCCCAGCACTCAGGAGGCAGAGGCAGGCAGATCTCTGTGAGTTCAAGGCCAGTCTGGTCTCCAGAGCGAGTGCCAGGATAGGCTCCAAAGCTATACAGAGAAACCCTGTCTCAAAAAACAAAAAAACAACAAAAAGATGGGAGGAGGGTAGGGAGAAGGACCCCATTCTGCCTTTTATGGGAGGGGCCAATGAAGGAGCCAGCCAAGATTTATTTTTATTAACTATGTGTCTGAAGTATGGCTGTGTACACCTGAGTGCAGGTACTTTGCAGGTCAGAGGCATCGGGTCCCCCCTGGAGCTGGAACCAAGAACAGATCTATCTCCCCACCCTAGAGAAAAGCATCTTTGTCACGTTCCAACTGGGCCTGCGGTGTGACACCAGCTTGGAATAGGTTCCACACCTTATGCAGCCAGGGCCAGATGACAGTGCAGTTGTCCTCGTCACAGGTGCCGCCCACTATTCTCTTGTTGGTGATGGATGGAACTAAATTGGGGTCTTCCTTGGTGCCTGACGAGATTTTGGGGGTTAGCTTAGGCTAAGAGTCCAATTCCTTCTGTGTAACCATCAGGAGCTGCCTTGCCATCCCAGCAGCCCGCTCCTTAGGAGCCTGCAGGAGCCCTGGAAGGCGCCACTGGGCCTGTGTGCTCTCAGGCCACCACCTCATAGGGGTCTCTGCCAACACTGCGGCCAGCAGAATGTCGATTCTCAAGAGACCAGAAGGCAGTCTGGTTCAACATGACTCGGTAGCCAGTCTTGGTTTAGATTTTGAGAGTCTGACCCCCAAGTCGCTTATTTTAGGCATATTTTTTTCTTTCTTTCTTTTTTTATTAATTAAAATTAGGGAACAAGCTTGTTTCACATGTAAGTCCCTTCTCCCTCTCCCTCCCCTCACCCCCATCCCTCTTCCCCCACCCTATTTTAGGCATATTTAAGCACAGCACAATTTGGTGAAAAAATTTTCCTGGTGATAATTAACTCAATCCCATGTACACAATAAAGCCCACAACATGACTACATCAAAACTCTTTGTAAAGTACGCGTGACATTTTCCACAAAGATGGGCTCTATTGATTGACTGAGAAAAACAAGCTCATGATAAGGCCTGAGGGTGAGTCTGGTGTGGACTCATCACACAGACAGTGCAGAGGTCACCACGTGTGTTCCCAGGCTTCTGGACAGGGAACAGGTTATATGTCTCTTGCTTTGATGGGACAACTGCGTGAGTTCTCATCCCTGGCTCCCCTAGTGTTCATCCATGAGCTCATCTGTGCCTCCCACACCATCTGACCCCAAATGACTTGCTTCATTCCATTCTTTCGTGTGTGTCTGACAGACACAGAGTCTCACTTCATATCCCAAGCTGGCCTTGAACTCAGAGCAGTCCTCCTGCCTCAGCTGGATTAAAGGTGTGGTGGGATTACAGGTATGAGCGTCTCTTGCCTCTTTGACTTGCAGCCCCCCAACTCTTGTGCATCCTTTCAGGGCATAGATGAGGGCCCTGAAGGGCTGAGACTCATCTCTGACATCATCAGGGAGAAGATGGACATTGACATCAGTGTGCTGATGGGAGCCAACATCGCCAGTGAGGTGGCTGCCGAGAAGTTCTGTGAGACCACCATTGGTGAGGCTGCAGGGGAGGGGCCTGGGAGAGGGGAGGGGGGGAGATGACGACTTAGCCTCCTATTTGTTCCCTCTTCCTGCTCTGGTGCTGGAGACTCGGCCTCAGACGTGCTACACACATGCTCCACCTATGAACTCAAGCCTGTAATTGCAGTATTCTAATAGGTGGAGGCAGGAAGATTAGGCATTCAGGGCCAACCTTGGCTACATGGTGAATTTGAGGCCAACCTGGCCTACCTGTGACTCTGACTCAGTAGAAAGCAGGGGAAAGGGTGCTGGGGAGACGTGAAGAGTCTGCTAGGGGCAGGAGGACCTGAGTTCAGACCCCTAGTGCTCATGACAAAACAGGCACAGAACAGGCGTCTGTGATCCCAGGACTGGGAGGCATCCCATTGGTTAACTAGCCTAACCAATCAGTGAGCTCTGGGATCCACAAGGGACCCTACTTCTAAAAAAGCTGGAGGGGCTGAAGAGCTGCTCCACCTCTTCATTGCTCTTATAGAAGAGTTCAGTTCCCAACCTCTGCATGGAGGCTCAGAAATGCCTGTAATTGCCAGGCAGTGGTGGCACACACCTTTAGTCCCAGCACTGGGGAGGCAGAGGCAGGTGGATCTCTGTGAGTTTGAGGCCAGCCTGGTTTACAGGGGGAGTTCCAGGACAGCCAGGGCTACACAGAGAAACCCTGTCTGCAAAAACCAAAGAAGAAGAAAAGAGGGGAAAAATGCCTGTAACTTCAATCCCAGGGGATCCAGTGCTCTCTCTGCCTCTGTGGACACTATATGGTACATAGACAGACATGTAGGCAAAACATCCATACACATTTATAAATACAACAATTTTTTTCTTAAAAAGCTGACAAGTTATTGTGGAAGAAGTCCATACCCAGCATTGCCTTCTGGCCTCCATGCCTTTAAAGACTTATCTTTCTCTGTATGTACATGGAAGGGCTGTAGGCATGAAATCTCCTGCCCTAGAAGCCAGAGGGGTGGGACACCCCTGGAGCTGGACTTAAGGGCAACTGTAAACCAGCTGACATGGATACTGGGAATTGAACTCAGGTCCTCAGAAGTGCTCAACCACTGAGCCACCGATTTAGCTCATTTTTTTTAAGGGTTTTACAGGACTTTTATGTGAAACACGTACATTTTTTTTCTAGAACAATATGGCTGTTAATTTTTGTACAATGCCAACTGAACGCAGTAAACTGGGATACTTTTTTTCAAAGTTGACAGCACAGCTAAAGTTTCTAAAAATTCAAATTATATATGTATGTATATATATTTATATAAAAAGACCAATAATGGCAGTATGTTATGCATCAATAGCAGCAACAGCTTTTCCAGGTTCTGAAGTCATTTAAACAAAATTGTAGCGACATCTAGCACACTCCATTATAAAAAAAAAAAGTAAAAAACAAAATCCCAGAAAATCAGCACAGTTCTGTTACCCTTGTGGTACCTGGCACCATTTTTTTTTTTTTTAATTAGCTTCTCAATCATCATCTGGAAGGAAACCATTCTGAGCAACATCATTAAAAATAGCTCTGATAAAGCATGGTCACTACTATGTATCATAAAGCAGGTCCACATATGAGTGAGTACATATCATGTTTGTCTTTTTGTGATTGGGTTACCTCGCTCAGAATGGTTTCTTCAAGTTCCATCCATTTTCCTGCAAATTTCATTTTATGATTAGATGGTGCTAGGCCTTGGGTTTGTTACCTACTCTACCAGAGAGCTCCATCTCTGGCCTCTGGGTCTCTGGACTGATGGCATTAAGGACCAGCGGATGCTTAATTCTAGAGTGGGGAGTATCGGTGTGATTGTGAATTCTATTGTGTGTGTTTGTGGGGGGGGGATAGGCATAATGTAGAGGGCTAGATGGCAATGCTGTCATAGTGTGCACTGCTGCCCCCTTGTGGAGAACACACCTTTCTGCTCCTGATTTTACAAAACCAGTGTGCTTTCTAAAGCAAATATGATTCCATATTTACTCACAGAAGTCCTGAGAGGGCCACAAACGCTAGGTATCTAACATTGTTTCTAACATAAATGTCATTTGAGAGATAATATGGAATGGAAGAAGAATAGTCCACATCTGGCCCCCATGCACACAGGCAAGCCCCTTGTCCAGACAAGACACACACACACACACACACACACACACACACACACACCAGCAAATGTTGGCTGACTTCATAATTATGGGGCTGGACCTCTGTTCCCAGCAAGGCTTTTTTCTTTCTGACTCTTACTTAACTTTACAGCCATCATGGAGTACCCAGTGTTTTTTCTCAGGAGGAAGCTGGCGGAGGTTAAATCAAAGATCTGCAAGCTTGGTTTTTGTCCAAATCACCTAGGGAAACTCAAAAACTAGCCTTGCTGTTCCGCTGCAGGCTGTGATTTCATGGATCTGGGCTGCGGCCTGGTTAGCAGTGTTCTTAAAGCTCCCAGGGTAGTGGAGACAGGCAGAGTCTGGGGCTAAAGTCTTGGAGGGTTTCCCAATGTCCTGATAGTTGCTGCCTGCTTGTGGCCTAAGGTCTTGAGTTAGGTCCTGGGGAAGTGATTTGCCTAGTCACCCCCACCCCCAGCACCCCACCAGTCTGAGCAGATTTCACATCGGGCACTATGTGGGGATTTTACTTTGGTTTGTTTTGCCTTTGTTGCTATTTTTTAAATATATAATTCTTTTTAAATTTAAATTAAAACAATCTATTTTACATACCAATCCCTCTCCCTCCTGTCCTTCCATACCTCCCACCAACCCCCATCCCACCCCCCATGGAGGGTGAGGCCTTCCATGGGGTTCATCAAGGGGACACAAATGGGAAAGGAAGAAGCCAAACTCTCACTGTTTGCAGATGATGTGATAGTCTACATAAGTGACCCAGAAAACTCTACCAGGGAACTCATACTGCTGATAAACACCTTCAGCAAAGTGGCAGGATATAAGATTAACTCAAAAAAATCAGTAGCCCTACTATATACAGATGATAAATGGACCGAGAAAGAAATCAGAGAAACATCACCCTTTACAATTGCCACAAACAACATAAAATATCTTGGGGTAACAATAACCAAACAAGTGAAAGACCTGTATGGCAAGAACTTTGAGTCTCTAAAGAAAGAAATTAAAGAAGATACCAGAAAATGGAAAGATCTCCCATGCTCTTGGATAGGGAGGATCAACATAGTAAAAATGGCAATCTTGCCAAAAGCAGTCTACAGATGCAATGCAATTCCCATCAAAATCCCAGCACAATTCTTCACAGACCTTGAAAGGACAATACTCAATTTTATATGGAAAAAAACAAAAAATCCAGGATAACAAAACAACACTGTGCAATAAAGGTTTGGTGTTTTTGAAAACAGTTTCTCCATGTAGCCCCAGCTAACCTGGAGCTCATGGCTTCTGTCTCACTCTCAGATACTAGGGTTACATGTAACATGGGTCGCCAGGACTGAATCCTGATGGTTTACCTTGTTTCACTGTTTGAGATAGGGTCTCACTGTGTAGCCCAGGCTGGCCTCCAGAGTGCTGGATTAAAGTCATCACCCTGTTTCTATCTCTATCGGTCAGGATTCTCTAGAGCCACAGAACTTATGAATGACGACAGGCTGCAGTCCAACAATGGCGAGTAGTGATGGAAAGACCAAGAATCTAGCACCATGGGGGTGGGAGGTGTGTCCCAGCTGGTCTGCTGGGATCCTGAAGAATGAATGGATGTCCTGATGACAAGGAAGACTCTAAAACACACATAGATCTTACATTCTGTTTCAAGAAAAACCTTTCATGTTTAATACATTTAAAATGCATGTCAAATGTACTTATATTCAGTAAACTAAAGATAGCTGTTGAATTGTAAATAATTGGCTCTAGTATTAGGGATAACTAAATTTTCTTTTTTTCAAAATTAATGTGTAGGGTAGGGTGTTTGTGCCAAGGAGGTCAGAGGACAACTGTGGAGTTGGTTCTCCCTCTCCACCTTTACATGGAGAGAACCCAAGTCACCAGGAATTTACAACAAGCACATTTACCCACTGGGCCACTGGGCCAGCCCACAGTTTTGATTTTTGAGACAGGGTGTTATGTGGCATAGGCTGGCCTTGAACTCCTATATTCTTTGCCTAAGCCTCCCAAGTGCTAGGCAAGGGATATCATTTTCTATTTCTGCTATCTGAATTGAAGTTTATCCTAAAAAAGCCACACCTGCCTTAAAAACTCAGCAAGGCCCATTGACTTGATTGAATTTAGCTATTATAGGGATTTGGGGTGTGATGGGGAAGTCCTTCTGTGTATGTGTTTGCCTTATTGGTTGATAAAGTACTGTTGGCCAATAGGAAAGCAAGATAATAGGTGGGACTAGGATTCTGGGAAATGTAGTAAAGTCTTGTGATCCAGGCAGGAAGTGACATAGCAGGCAGACTCAGAAATATAAGCAGGGACAAGCAGGAAGTTGTGTTCTTCGCCCTCCTCTCTCTGGAGCCACCATGCGATCCCAGGAAGACAGGACGCATTCCACCGGCGTCCTCCATAAGATAAGTCTTATAAAATATAAAGATTAGTAGTTATGGCTGATAATTAAGACTGAGTTAGCATATAGAAATCCTAGTCATTGGCCAGCAGCATTGTACCTAATATTAATCTCTGTGTGTTATTTTGGGCAACCACATGGCAACAGGGCCATTGGCAGAAAGACTTATTGTTACAGGGGTGCTGTAGGTCTAGTTATCTCAGTCTGTCTTTAGTCCCCTTTACAGCCGTATATTAGGCAGTCACCTGTGTGTCTGCTCTAACATCCTGTGACCCAGTTAAAACTTTTGGGGATGCATCAATATCACAGACCCCTAGCATCTACCAACCCAGAAGTTAGGATGTCACCAGGTGGTACCTAAAGCCTGTGACAAGGCATTGTGCACTCTGCTGCAACCCCTCCTGATGTTCCCAAGAGTGTATTTGAGAAGTGCCTTGATTCTTGACTTTCTTCTGTTCTGGAACTATAAACGCTCACAGGACTATTACCATGGCAGGACATGGTATTTGGGGTTACCTGAGTCTTTGTTCCTGCACATGGTCACTCATTTGAAACTCATTCACTTAGAGATTAGAGCTATGGTTTTGGATCCATAGCTATGTGCCTTCTCTACAAGTGTGTGTGTGTGTGTGTGTGTGTGTGTGTGTGTGTGTGTGAAGAGCCCATGTTACTTTTGTAATAAAAGTTAATACTTTAACCTCTGCTGAGTGTAAAAGTGGACACAGGGCCCTCCACTAATCTCCTGTTCTCCTCACCCTCCCACAGGCAGCAAAGTGATGCAGAACGGCCTTCTCTTCAAAGAGCTGCTGCAGACACCCAACTTCCGAATCACTGTGGTAGACGATGCTGACACTGTGGAGCTCTGTGGTGCCCTAAAGGTAAAGTCAGCCTTGGCATCCCACGCAGGGTAGGAGATGTCAGGCTAGCCCAATGCTGGCATCCACCCAGGGGAGGAGGTACTCAGGCTAGCCCAATGCTGGCATCCCACCCATGGGAGGAGGTGTCAAGCTAGCCAATGCTGGCAGTCTAATGCTGAGAGTGAGCTCTGTGTGCTGGTTGGTTGGTTCATCTGTGTGTGCGTGTGCTCAGGTGTGTATGCAGAAGTCAGGACATCACCTGGTTTGAGACATGGTCTCTCTGCCATTCACCTTTGGATACAGCAGGCCAGCTGGCCCATAGCCTTCCGGAGTTCTCCTTTCAGGCTGGGGTTACAGATGTGTCCTGCTGTGTCTGGGTGCTGGGGTGCTGGGGGTTGATTCAGTCAGGTTGTTAGGCTTGCATGACAGACGCTTTAGCCACTGAGCCACCTTCCCAGCCGTGACTGTGCTCTTGTCACAGACTCCTGTGAAAAACAGCATGCTGATTTTCTTCTTTCCTAGATGCCAGGCTCTGGCTCGTTACTTTTATTTATAAATATCAGTGAACTGTGGTTTTTTTTTTTGGATAGCTTTTAGATTACTTTTATTTGTGTGCATGTTTTGCTTTCATGAATATACGTGTACTGCATACATGCCTGGTGCCACGAGGTCAGCAGAGAGCATTGGACCTCCTAGAACTGGGGTTACAGATGGTTGTGAGTTGTCGTGGGGTGCTGGGAACTGAACACGTGCTGCAGCGGCCACTCTCACTCCTAAGCACTGAGCCATCATCTCTTTAGTCCAAAACTATGGTTTGTTTTCTGAAAACCTGTTATTTGATATTCTCTTCCTATTTGTGTGTGTTCAGTCTGAGTATGGGCTTATGTTATGCTGATGCCCACAGAAGCCAGAAGAATGTGTGGGATTCCCGGGAGCTAGAGTTCCAGGTGGCTGTGAGCCACCTGACATGGGTGCCGGGAATCAAACTCTGGTCCTTTGGAAAGACAGCCAGTGCTCTTAACCACTGAGCCCTCTCTCAGCCCCCGTTATATTTATTTTTACTTATGTGTATTTGTGTATGCCTGGGCATTTGTCTGTGTGCCACATGCATACAGTGCCCATGGAGGCCAGAAGAGGGCATTAGACGCCTTGGGACTGCAGTGTAGGAAGCTGCCGTGAGGGTGCTGGGAATGGACCCCGGGTCCTCTGCCAAAGCAGCCAGTGCTCTCAACCTTGGGTCGCTCTCCAGCTCCAGTTTCTTGTTCTCTGAGGTGATTGCCTTGGCAGCCACTAGTGTTTGGCTTCTCTAGGGTTTCACCATTCTCCTTCCTCACCCAGATGTTATCTTGAGGGGAATTTGTTTCCTCTCACTCCACTCCACTGGCTTCTCATTCTTCTTCCCATGGAAGAGTTGTCTCCTACTGACAAGAAGGGTTTTTTTTTTTTTTTCCCCAAAGAATAGCTTATCTTTGTTCCCTAAAGTGAAAAGAAATAGTTTCAATTGGCCAGTGACCATAGATTGTCAGGAGACCAAAAAATCACCACAAATTTAATTACTTGGTCAATCAGCCTCTAGCCCCAAGCGTGCAGAAGGCAGCTTGCATCTGCCAGGGAGAACTATGTCCTGTCAGCAGGGCCGGTATGAGGAGTCTGTAAAGCAGAAACAAGGAAATGGAGCAATGGAGAAACCCGACCAACAGCAGTAGGTCATTTACAGTTACTTCAAAACTGAGCCAGTTGTTTCTTGGGTCGTTTGATTTTTGAGATGGAGTTCAAGGAGCCCTGTCTGTGTTCCAACTCAATGTGTACTCGAGGGTGACCTTGAATTTCTGATCCTCCTGCCTCCACCTTCTAAGTGCCAGGATTACAGGCTTGCACACTACATCTTGTTCAAGTGGTGCTAATGACCAAACCCAGGCTTCATGCTGGCCAGGCAAACAGCCTCCCAGCTGAGCCACCCCCCTGGCCCTCTTCTTCTTTGTTGAGCACAGGGCCTTGCACAAATTCCAGGCAGGCACTTTGCCACTGAGATGCACCCCCAGCAGTTTTAGGTTTTATTTTGAAACAAGATCTAACTAAAATGTCCAGAGTGGCTTTCAACTTTTTATGTGACCCAGACTGACCTGGAACCCACTCTTTCCCCATCTTGACTGCTCCTCCACACCTAACACTTTATGTCAGTATAGACTCCTGCTTCCAGGAAAAGCTCTGGGACTAGTGACCTCCTGGCGGGTCAGTCTGACGACTTGGCACTGGGTGAAAGTGACTCCATTCTGGCCAGTCTGGTCTTGGGGGGTCTCACATAGAAGTGCTGCCCAAAGCAATGGCTTCTCATCACCTTAATTAAGAATAGGTCTTTAATCCCAGCACCCGGGAAGCAGAGGCAGGCAGATCTCTGTGAGTTCAAGACCAGCCTAGTCTACAGAGAGAGTTCCAGGACAGGCTCCAAAACTACACAGAGAAACCCTGTCTCGAAAAACCAAAGCAAAAAAAAAGGAAAATGTTCCCACACTTGTCCCTCTGTCCTGAGCGGGGAACAGGCTGAAGAAGCAGGGCTACAATGGCTCTTTCCATGATCTTTCTCCTCAGCAGTCAGAATTGGTTGACCCTGCCTCTTTGGGGGTGCAAAATGGAGGATGGGACAATGAGATGACTCTGGGTAAAACCACCTTCTGCCATGCCCAGGAACGTCAGGTCGTCCCCGTGCTGCATGCAGTGGAGAACGGACTCTTAGTTGTCCTCTGACCTCCACGCATGCCTTCTTGTTTTGTGTTTTTGAGGCAGGGTCTCTCAATGTAGCCCTGGCTGTCCTGGAACTCACTGTGTATACAAGGCTGTCCTCACAGAGATCTGTCTGCCTCTGTGCCTCCAGGGATTAAAGTTGTGTGCCACTACACAGCTTTAATAAAGGTAATCTTTTAAAAGGAGTGGGAGTGATAGGGATGTAGCTAGCTCTCTTGGTGAGATGCTTGCCAAGCATTCAGGAAGCCCTGGGTTCATTCCCCAGCCTCACATAAACCAGACATGTTGATGCTCGCCTGTAATCCTAGCACTGGGCGGGTGGGGGCAGGAGGATCGGAAGTTCTAGGTCATCCTTGGCTACATAGGGAGTTGGAAGACAGCTTCCCTTCCCCCTAGACTTCTCAGTGTAAATACCCAAATACCCAGCAGTTTAATCCAAAGCTGCTTCTGGAGTTGGAGCAGCTGGGAAGAGTGCCCGGCAATTGGCATCCAACTGCCTGTTTCCAACGAGACTTGCCAAGCTGAGCATGGAAGCCAAACCGGAAATAAAGCACCTGCCCCCACTCCTCAAGAAATCTACATCCTCTTTTCTCATCAGAATTAAAAGCACTTTTTAGAATTGACATTGTATGGTCTCAAAATACAATGCACATTTTAAAACTTCTAAGACTTCTGGGTTTCTATGTGTGGGGGACACTGTTCCAGTTATGTGCTAGCAGGGCTCTTTGCACAGTCATCACGGCATTGGCTTTGGTGGCTTTATACTGGGTGAGATTTTTATGGCTTTTAATAGTCCCCTATTAAACTAATGACCACTCAGCAGCAGGGGACATCATGAATGCCTAATTGCTCAGCATTAGCCAGAAGCTGCACAAAGCTGTTTTTAAGTGACTGGATATTTTGGGTGACCAGTGAGGAGATGATGTGGAATTCCACCCTGAACAAAGAGTGCTCGATGAGAAGATTCTAGATGGATGGTTCTAGAAAGCTTCTGCTAATGGGGGTTAGTGTGCTCCCTGAGGGGCACCTGTGTGTAGGGAGACACTGTAGCCCTGCCTCTTAGTAGCGTGAGGGCGTGGTGAGGGGAAGTCTAAGGTGACATAGGAAGGCTTCTTAAGGGACCAAGGACATGTGAACGGTCCCTTCTCCTTGCCCTTCTCCCTGCTCCCTCCTCCTCGCTCTGGCCTGGCTGCCCTGGCACGCTTTGGCCTGCACTTGGCTGGTGTATCCGAATAAAGAAACCTTGGCCCTGTTGACTGCTGACTGATCACTCCACACCTGTGAGTGGATTCATGCCTGCAGGACAAAGTGAAAGAGGGAGGTGGAGGCAGTGGGGCCCAGGGCCCCTTGTTCCTCTAACCCAGGGGCTGTCCATTATTCCTTGAGCCTCCATCAGGACCAGAGATTTAAAAACCAGGAAATAGGGACTTTCACTGTTATCCGAGTCCAGCCATGGTGCCCATGAGATTAGATTAGAATCCAGCATACGTGACCTAAGTGATCTTTCTCACCACCGTGGCCTTGTCCCCACCTCTGCCTCACAGTCCTACCTGGGTGCTGTTCCCTCCTGGTGTTCACCCCTCCCCTTTGGCAGCAGAACCAGAGCCCAGACTCAGGCAGTAGGAAACTATTTTTACTTTGGTCTGTTGGGTTATCTTGCTATTTGTCACTGGTGATACCAGCCCATGTTGCTTGGCTATGACCTTGTCACAGGACAGCTTGGGCTCTGGACACAAGACAGAATAAGAAAAATAATGGCAGAGGCCCTTGGTAGAGGTGTTGGGCTTCTTTTTGTTCCTCTAACACTCAAGAAATTGTATTAGTGTTTGAAGGTGTCAGAATCAATTTTGTATGTATCCCTGTGTGTGTGTATGTGACAGGAGTTTGTGTGCACACATGGATACATGGAGTCCTAAGGTCAGTGTCTCCTCCAAGCCTTCTTTACTTACCTTCTGAGAAGGCCCCTCACAGAGTCTGCAGCTCTCCAACCTGCCTAGACTGGCTGGCCAGTGAGCTCCAGGGGTACACTTGTTTCTAAACCCAAACTTGGGTCTCCAGGCACCTACTCACGTATCTGCTTTTGCATGGCTGCTGGTGGCTGTGTTTGCACTGCAAGCTGTTTGCCCACTGAGCCATCTCCCCAGTGCTCTCTTACAGTTTTTACATGTTCAAAAAATATCACCTAAAAAATACAAATAACAGTTTACACTGAGAAACACAGCCGTAAATACAGGTGAAGGTGAAAATTCTGCGGCTGCACCATCTAGAATATCCACAAA